CTTGTTTCAGCATGTTCTGCATGCCCATGGCCATCTTAATATCTATCGTAGCAAATCTGTCGCCACCTGAATCGCTAAACAAATCCAGGTCTGGGTTCAACCCAAGAGCCTGCTCCAGCCATTTCGTCCATGCATCGGTATCTGGATCTGCACATGCGCTCAGAACATTCATCAGCAGTTGCATCTTCCAGGTGTCAAGTTGATGGATCTTTGGCCAGGCCGGAATAGATACTCTCTCGGCCTCTTTCCTCGAGATTCTCGGTCGATCATTCTTGATCTCTCGGTTATCTCTCGATCTCCTTCGTCTCCTCCGTGTCCGATCGTCTTCTTCCTCTTCTTCTTCCTCGTCTTCCTCATCTCCTTCGTCGTCGTCATCCTCATCCTCATCATCGGGTGGATCATCCGGAGGTCCTCCTCCGCCACCAGCGAGGCTCAACTGACGTCGACCCGCTCCCTGCCCATTCCCATTGGGCGGGAATCCACCGTAATCCAATGGGGCGTAGTACCGTTGTTCCCCCCCCCATCACCACCACCAGTCGTAGTAGTGGATTGTGGGACATGCCCAACAACCCCTTGCATCTGGGATAGGTGTACATCGATCATTGGATCACCGAAAGACGGAAAGAGGATCGAACCTGGCATCAGCGACGAATTAGGGATTTGATTTAAAGACGATGACGGGACTGACCCAGCCACCTTCTTGTCTATCCTATTTGAATTAGCCTGGGTTCCTCCCTCAGCGCGTTTCACTACTGCTCGTTCACGATGTCCATCTTTGCTGCTGGAGGCTTCCTGTGTCTCCAGCTTCTTGTGTGCACGTAGTTCCTCGTTGTCAGCATCGAGTTGGCGTACAAAACTCTCTTCTTGCTTGAGCGTCGCCTCTCTTTCTTTCAGTTGTCTCTGAAGCTCATGCATCTCCTCGAGGTACTCATCGTACATTCCCTTAGCTGTCAATCTCCAGTACTCAGCCTCCTTCGACTTCTCGTCCATCGTGCACCGTTCCTCTTGTTTCTCTTCTTTGACCTGGGCTAACTCCAAGATCGCATCCTGACGATGACCACCTTCGACAGCAATCATCTGGTCCTTCATCGACACGTCGGACTCATACTGTTTGACGATCTCTTCTTTTTCGCGAAGCAAGCAATCTGCTCTCTTCGATTCCTGTTCCGCAAATACTGTAACGTCATTCAGCCTCGCCATCAGCTGTTCCCTGGAGTCCTCCAAAGAGTACGTCTCGGGGCGCTTGACGAGTGCATGCTCCAACTGTGATTTCAGACTTTGGACCATCTCCTCCTCGTTGAACTTCTCGATAGATGTAGAAGATTCTATGCCTCTGATCTGTTGCTGATAAACTGATATCTGTTGTGAAGCCTCACGGTGTATCTGATTTGCACGTATAGCTGATTCCTGCGCGGCCGACTTCTCGCTTGCCATGTAGGATTTCATCAATGCAATCTCCCGCTTCTGCTCCATGATAGTTCCTTCAGCTTGTCTCATCTGTTGCATTATAATATTCGACTCCATGTCTTTCTTCTCCCCGTACTGAAATGCGTTCATTTCCACCTTGCGCATCTGTTGGGCTTCTTCCTCAAACTTGCGCCATGCCTCAGCCATGTGGTGTTGGTGGTGACTCACTAGATGTCCCGACTGCTTGCTGGCAATCTCGCATCGTCTTTCCAGCTCCTGGATCCGGATGGTGCTTCCATAATCTTCTTGGCTAAGATTCGCCATTGCTGCCGACATTTCATCAAGTGTCTTCTGATATTCCCCGATCTCCACCTCCATCTTATTCTTCTCTTTGATCACGGCGCGAAAATCTGCACTGGTGGGTGATTTTGACCTCCCACCCTTCGATGTCGATCTCACGCCCTTCTGCGACGTCCGTGGTGTCGCAGGCGAAGATGATGATCTTCTCGGTGGGGATTCTCTTTTCTTCGACTCCTGATGAACATCGATCTGCTTCCATGATCTTGTGGGAGTAGATATGTCGCTGAATAGCGCGGAACCTCCGCTCCCAGGTTCATCCTGTGAATCTGCAACCATATCCATCACCGCAGGAAGAGCCATCAATCCATTGGATCCCTCTGAGCTGCTGTTCCCAAAAGTTGCAGTACTTGGGCTCGCCGAAGACGCCATTGTACTGTGTAGGTTGTCGTTCCTTTATTGTCCCTGTACCCGCAATAAACCAGCTGTCTCCCAGTCCAGTGTAGAGCTTGTAGCTACGGCTGATAACCTGTCAAGAGACGGCAAGGTGACGTCCCGTGGGACGCTATGCACCGAACCCTCAAGCTGTAATACCAACCACGTAGAAAGGTGTATACGGACGATGCCGTTATAGCCGAACCCGTGTAAACGTTGTAAGGGAGAAGGAATGATAGTTACAACAGTAGTCCTGACAAATGCAGCGCAAGCGAAGTGTTTTCGCTCTCAATGCCGATCACGTATGTATGCAGTCACACATCAGATCTTGAACCTCAGTTGTGTCTTGAGCCAAATGGCGATCAATGGAACTTGGGAAGCAACACCAACAAGGACCTCAGAACAGCTACCCAATTTCGGCACGGGGCCTAGAGGGTTTTAACAAGTAACTAGTGTTTTCACTGACAAGGCTTGTGGAGGAATTATTCGGAGGTGCCTTTCCCCTTTGGCTTCAAAAGGAACTGGTGTTCAAATGCCCAAACCAATCCAAACCAAAGTAGCCGCAAAAACACTCATGCCCATTTCAACTACACAAGAAAACGTAGTAGCTAGCTTCGAATCCTTTAAGGAAACATGGAGATGAATTCCAAAGAGTCTAGAAACCGTTTTGGATGCAGCTTTTGTGGACCCACCCTTGTAGCAAACAAAAAGGGGAAAAAAGGAGGAAAAAAAGGAAGAAAAAACGGACCAACAGGGGCAAGAACCAGTGAAATCCACACAAAGCGCGTCCGAACCGTCTTCTGAACAGAGGACATGGCCAGTGCCCACCGCCACCCATCGTCTGCATCCGCGAGGAGTCCTTGCCGATCTGGTAGCAACCCACCTGAGCGCGTCCAACCCCGGGCCGACCCGGAAACGGCCTGCCTGGCCAGGGGCGTTGTACTTAGCAAGAAGTTTTTAGGCCTTGTTACAACCCACAAAAGCCATGGTTATGAGTCTCCTTGGGTACCGGGCGTCCTACCCACATACTAAGTACAATGAAACTTTAAGTAGGGCCTCCTTCCGGGCTCCGGCCATCTTCTCAAGTCTTCACCCCATGTTTCCCTACAGGTGGGCCAGACTGGTCCGACCCCAAACAAAAAAGTTTTGAACTTTTGACTCAGTTGCCCAAATCTCCCAGAAATTGAAGGTTCACCTTGTGGGGCCGTGACCAAAAATGGACCGCAACGAGGAAATTAGACCGAGTTTGGGCAAGTGGGTGCATCCTCATTCATAGGATGCTATCCCCCCCCCCCCAAAGCTCCCCCCCCAAATCCAGAGATCCAAATTAGCTTAATCGGGGTCCAGCCCCAAAACAGCTGTCAGAAGACATTGAGTTTGCAAGTCCTTAATCCTAGCATGCTAAGGGTTCTAGCGCAAATCTTGTGTAGGAGAGATTGGCTGCAGCACAAACCCTTACTATGACCCTATAACGCTTTCATCGCCCGAACTGTGTTATTTTTTGCCGGCAAACCAAGATTAGCTTAATTGGTGTCCAGCCCAAAAACAGCTGTCAGAAAACACTGATTTTTGCAATTCCTTAGTCCTGGCATGTCAAGGGTTGCAGGCCCAAATCTTGAGTAGGAGAGACTGACCCCTATTAAGCCCCCATCGCCGGACTTTGCCGGCAAACCAAGATTGCTTCATTTGGGGTCCAGCCCCAATAAAACAGCCGTCAGAAGACATTGATTTTGCAAGTCCTTAATCCTAGCATGTTGAGGGTCGCAAGTCCAAATCAGGGTTGGGGGGAAGCCGCGTGGAAGAAGACCGCAAATGATGCCCCTCAAGAACCGCCAGCTTAGTACTCTCACAGCAGTGCCCAAGCAAAAGGCGGGGTGTGCGCCTGTCCCAAGCCATGAAATTGCGTGGATGCTTTTGACGCCTGTTGCTTTGCCGGCGTGTTTTTGAAACCAAAACCCTTATTAAGACTGTCTTTGGGTGACAAGGATTTTCACTGATGCCCCCGAAGCCTTATTTGTGCCAAAGCAAGGGGAGCAGCCTCGGCCACCCCGTGGAAAGAGTTTGCCACACCTAAGACCCTCTTTAAGGCATTGTTAAGGAACTCGTTCCCGCAACTGCAACTGGTGACATGTGTGACTGCAAAACCCCGAATAAGGTCATGTTGTTGTTCAAGGAAAAATCCGATTTAGTGCTCCAATAAGTCGCTAGTAACCGCTTAATAAGCTTTTTTTGGACCCCTAATAAGGCCCTAATCACGCACTAATAATGCTCTATTAAGGCCTTGCCGCCAATTCAGGTCTTATTCTGGAACTCAAGATTTGGGGGGGGGAGCTTTGGGGGGGCGGGATAGCATCCTGTGACTCATGGTCGGCAACACAACCGGGATTTCCTCCAAAAAAGCAAAAAGTTGAGGTAGGCTACTCCTGGCAATGTGAAGACAGGAAAGATGGGAGCCCTTGAAGTAAAGGCCATGGGAGTTCATGTTTGACACTCACCGTCCTGGAAAACTCCGTTGGGTGTGAGTTTTAACTGGGACTCTTACTCACTTGCCCAAAGCGAGTCGACCTTTTGGTTGCCCCCTTTTGGCCCCAAAAGTTCCAGGTTTTTATGTCCGGAAACCAGCGTCAACAATCATAGCCATTTCAGCTTGGCAACCCGCAGCCGCTCAAAGTAAACCCCTTGCAAGGCCCCCCCAAAAAAAATGAAGTCTGGCAAAAGTGGTTCTGATGACCAAAGTTTGCGCAAGGCTTCTTCAAAATGGATTAATCCTGGCACGCCACGAGAAGCCAGTTCAGACTGTTTCTGAGACCTGTCAAACTCAGCCACTGTGGTTGCTTCCTTAACCCACTCCCCCGAGCAAATCACAAGGACAAATCAGCACGGAGCCAGGCGGCCACAAAGAGCGTGCGTGGCTCCCGCTGCAGCTCCTGCCTTCAGAAACCATATGGGTGTGTCTTCAACTGGGAGGCCCCAAAAATCGCGGTTTTCCCTTCGGCCGGCACGCACAAACAAACGACAGACCCGAATTGAGCCCCGTAAAAACATCCGCCCTTGACTCAGCCCCGCGTGGAAGAAGGCCAGAAGGAGATTCCTTCGGTTTTGCCGAACCCTCAATCCCAACCCATGAGATTCTCTTGCACTCTTCTTGCTTCCGGGTGCCAGAAAAAACAACACAAAAACACATGCCGGGCCCCTTCCCAAGCTCAAAGGTCGGAGGAGCGCCTGTTCGGTGCCATCGAAACATCTACTGACTCATTCTTGTTGACCAAAAAAAAAAAACGCGCGCGCACATGCACACCCGCATTTTGCTACAACACAATTCAATTAGCTGTTTTTGCTGCTTGAGCAGAACTGCAGCATTACAAGTGAAAAAAAAGCATCCCTTTCTTCCGCAAACCATGCCTCCTTCTTACCAACAACTAAGGATCATCCGAAAGCTCCAAAACCCACAGCCCCGCAATTTAGTTGCGTAGCTTCCCCCATGACCATACAACCCCTGCATTTGTGCGTCACAGTCACAAGGAATGGCTCGAGCATTGCCAGCACTTAGCGGAGGAACCAAAAGGAAACTGACAAGGCTGCACCCTCGTGGGCAACCGGTATTGTGCTCAAAAAACTAAGCTCCTCCACCCCTCACCTCACACCTACCCCGTCCCGGTCAAAATGGGGGGGGGGATCCAATCCGAACACCACTACGACACCATCTGGCGTGAGGATCGTGCGGATTCATTTTGAACCACTGACGCTCTTGGGTAGATTTATCGCCTTCCTGGATGGATATGGACCGCCCTCCCTACTTTGAACTCGGGAGAGGATTCCTTCAAGGATACATCCAACAACAGCTGTAAAGGGATCCTCTAAATCCGCACAATGTTGAATTTCTTTCAGGCATCGAAAAAGGTAAGTCCTGATCCTCTAAACTTTAAGTCAATCTCACAAAGGGTACCACACCAAAACAAAAAAAATGGATACTGCGGAAGGTCGGCAAAAACCCATGCATCCAAGACCTGAAATTGTCGCTTCAAAAAACAAAAGGAACGACCACAAAAACACGAGGAGCCTCTTCGCGGGCCTCCGATCTCCCAGCGCCTGGTGATCTCCCGCAGCCAGTCGCAGGCGACACTCTGCGGGGGGAAGCGCCAGCGCGGGGTGCAGTAGGTGGTGTCCAGGAAGAGCTCCTGCCGACTTCGGGCGATCCAACGAGCTGAACCATCGCTGCGAAATCGGCGGGGAAGGAGACGTGGAATGAACCGTCTTGGTGGATTCCCGAAGAAAGGAAACCAAAAAAAGTTGGATGTTTTTTTTTGGGGGGGGGGAAATCCCGAACCAAGGAAACCGGAGGGTTTAGCGCCAAGATGAGACCATGTCGCCATGAACTCCCCAGAACCCCGGGACTAGGATTGGAGGCCCGCTAGGCCAAATGTGCCTGAAAGGAAGCAAGGTTCTGAGTGCCAGGAATTTGCGGCGCACATCCCTGAAAAGAGAACGAAGTCGAGCTGAAAAATTCGGGGGTTTGGAGTTCTTGGGCCTTGCCCCCTCCCCGCCCCCCGATTTTGGGAGACAAGCCCGCCCGGCGCCGTCACCCTGCGCTCGCCCAGCCAGCGGCTCAGGTTCTCCCGCGTGGCGCTGCAGGCGCGACAGTCGCCTCCAACCCCCTGCTTCCAGTCCCGAAGCGGCTTCCCTTAAACTGGGCTGGACCCTTTGGACAGAAATATATGGGGATCTATCACTAACCCAGGGAGAGGGCGTCCCCAACCACCATTCAGAGACAACTAGCTGCGTGCGGCTGGCGCAAAAAGAACTCAAACATGACAAGAAGTCAACCTATCATGCGGGTGTGCAGGTGTGCTTTTGTTTGAGGGTACCTGTGTTTTTGTTTTTGAAGGGAAGCCAAGAGGAATACCACCATTGGGGGTCCAGAAAAAGGAAAAAAAAAAGGCGCTTGAGAGAAACAGGGGCGGACGTTGGTGCCAAGAAGTCGAGCAAAGCAACAGAGATCCAAGTCTGGGGCCTGTGTGAAGGATCACCGCCTTCTCTTCCGCATCGGGGTCCTGCACACATCTGCATCGGGATTTCGTGCGCTCTCGACAGCTTCCCCCAGCAACTATCTCCAGCAACGCCTCCAATGGTTGGTTTTGTTTCCGGCATTTCTTCACCTGCAAAAATGAAGGATGTGCCCTCACAAAGGCCAACGCCCACACCTAGGGATTCTGCGGATGGCCCCACACCTAGTACGAAAAGGGAGAAAAACGAAACCCCTGAAAACATCCAGGGAAACTCACCTGGAAGGAGCCAAACAGCTGGATGTTTAAAGCCACCAAAAAGGGCGCTGAATGGCTCTGAGAACCTTTCGGGCGAGATCTTCGCACCACAGGCTTGAAACTTGGGTGGCTCTTTTAGGGAGGCCGCACGTACATGGCTTACCTTCGGCTTCGCTTCAAACCAATGAAAAGGGGCCTGCATGGCAGGGAGCACCCATATCAACCATCAAGGCAAACGAATTGACTGGAGAACGGAAGCTGGCACTGCTTGCCACAAGGCGGCCAACCATGGCCAACCTGCCTTTTTCACCAGCCTGATTTGTGCAAGGCTTCTCCAAAGGTATTGCCCTCACACCCACTTTTGCGCCCATAACATTGCCGCCCTCACCCTAAACCTCGAGCTCTCGCGATTTGCCTGCAAACTCCCGAACGGGCAAGCAGTTGCAGCATCATGGACTTTAGGAGAGGTTGAACAGTACGGTATGGCCTGTTTGAAGAGGGGGATGATATTGTTGGAACATATTTTGTGCAATCTGGCCATTCCTTCGGCCCAAGGGTGGCTTCTCCAGGAGCAAAGCATCCTCGACGAAACAAAGAGGCCTAAATATATAGATACATATATATATATATATATTTGTTAAAGTTGGATTGATGATGTAAATACCTGAAGACCTGTGTGTGACAGCGCGGCACTGTTGCTTCCAGGTGGCAAGCTGTAGCTCTACTGTATGTAGGCTCAAGGCCTTGATCATACAGATGTGCAAGGGCATGTACAAGTGAGGATGTATATTAACACCGCACCTTGGATTGATGTACCTAGACATCAAGACAAACAGTTGTGCTCTAGCTTGTCGAGGTGATGTAAAAATTTTTAGCAGCTCTACTGACTTTTTCAATTTGTACAACGGTTCCTCTAATGTGTCGAGCGGCTGTACAGACTGCAAGTGTGACCTGATGTCAGCAAGGTGTATCTGCAACACCTTGTGTCCACAAATCCAGTGTGCCAAAAATCGGCAATCACTGTGTAAGCAGTGTGGATCCCTGCTTCACTCCTGTAATGTACTCATTGTACATCTGTGCCTTGGTCGCAGCGTAGTTCATGTAAAACAGATGCTGCTGCTCGAGGATGTAGTCAATGTGGCCCGGATGTCCTGGCACTGCCTGTCCCTCAATCGTGCCACGTGTGTTGAGACTGTTTGCATCCTGCATCGAGATGTGCCTCACCAATGTCACCTGATGTGCAGGTGGCAGATCTTTGATGCTGCCAACTCCCATCAAGGACAATGCCTGTGCCACTGTGGCTCATCTGTTGCGAGTTGCTCGAGGTTCACGCAGGCGTTGTGGGACCAGATGTACCCTGTGTTCCAGTTGAACTTCATGTAGACCCCGAGCAGGCCATTGTTGCCGGTGTACTTCAAAACCTGATGTTTAGACAGCTCGTCTTGTGTCTGCATCCATGTCTTGTTCATGTGAATTTGCATGCGTACTGCACTGTAGCCCCGATTGAAGAAATTGATGTAGCCGCGGGATGCCCACTCGGCAATGTGCCTCGCATCCAGCTGTACCGTGGCCACAATGAAGGTGTCGAGGTGCTGTGTCCTGCATGTCCCGACAGAAATGTAATTCAGAAGGGTTGTGACAGCCTCGAAAGGGGAACTGTTCAACAAGATGTACTCGACCTCTGGGCTTCTAGCCCAGCCATGGATGTGTTTCAGTTCGCCATTCTGTGTCCAAGATGTGAACTCCTCAAATGTCATTGCAATGTACATCATGTTGGTCTTGTTCTGGATGGTGTCCATGTGGATCCCATCCAATGTACGCAAGGGCTGCTTCCCGGTGATGTTCTCCTCAGTGTAGCCCAAAGATGTAAGGCTCATCGCATCCCATGTCCTCGCCACTGTGACCTCTGTGGCCGGATGTACTCAGCGATCCTTGTGAGTCCTGACATCGCCATTGTGTACCTTCAATGTACAGGGGTGTGTCTCCACAAAATGTAAAATGGCTGCGACATGTATCAAAGACATTGTCTGAAACATGTATGAAACCTCATGCAGTAAAAATGTACCCGAGGATGTAAAAGATGTGGTCAAAGATGAACTCAAAGTTGTGCACCCAAAACCTGAAAGGCTGTATCATCTCCAGGGCAGGTCCATGGCTGTACCTAACCTAAAGCTAAAACATGTGTGCGGGCCGTTTAGTTGTGAAACATACACGTGTGTCAACTGTGCAACTGTTGTTTAACATACTGTGCAACTGTGTGAAACTGGTGTTGTGTGGCCTCACAGGCCAACGTTGTACAAGTGCTTGTTGAGGGTGTCGCAGCTGACAAACTTTGTCAGCAGGTCTGATGGGTTGTCTTCAGACCTCACTTTGTGCATTGAAATGATTTTGCTTTTGACAAGTTGCTGTATGAAGAGGTGCCGTAGCTCGATGTGTTTTGCTTTCTTTGATGTGCCTTCTCTCATTGATATTGATTTTGCTGCACTGCTGTCTGTGTGTATCCTTATGTTGATGCGTACCTCAAATGCTTCTTTTATGAAGTTGCCGATGTAGAGGCTTTCCTGCGCTGCTGTACCAATTGCGTACAGTTCTGATTCTGCTGATGAAAGTGCTATTGTGGCTTGTGTTCTGCTGCCATAATGTACTGCTGCTCCAAAGAAGTACAGTACAAATCCTGTTGTGCTCTTTCTCGTTGTTTCACATGATGCCCAATTGGCATCTGTGTATGTGTCAATGTTGAGTGGTATTCGCTTGTCCTGTGTTTGTATCTTTGGTCGCAAGTTGTGTCGCATGTACCTTGTGCCCTTAAGGTACCTGATCATGTGCTTGAGCTTCTTGTTGTCAAACTGTGTTGGTGCTTGTAATGATCTTGCTAGCTCTTTTGCTCCATAGCTGATGTCTGGTCGTGTGTATGCTAGCCATTGTATCTTGCCGACAAGCCGCCTGTATCGTTTGTGTTGCTCGTGGTCAAGTGGTGCTTCGTCTTCTGCTGTACCTTTCATGTGTGATACCCCTGGTGATGGTGCTGGGTTGCATGTAGTCATTCCTGACTCTTCCAGGATGATGTGTACATAGTTGTTGTTCAAACTGATGTCGATGTGATCGCCTCTGTCTGAGATGTTTCTGCCAAGGAAGTGGATTGTTGATCCAACTGTTAGGTCGCCTGTGTGTCTAAGCAGAACTTCTTTTGTATTCTGCTGAACAGTGTGTTGATGATGCTTTGTACTCCTATGAGTAGGAGATCGTCTACATAGATCATAATGTAGACCAGGCAATCCTTTGACCTGTAGACATTGCTTTCTGTTGTGCATCTCACCAATTCGAGTGTGACTGTGAGAAAAACAAGAAGAACGTGTGCTATGTGGTCTTGCCATTGCTTTGGTGATGATCTAAGACCGTAGATTGCTTTGTTTAGCCGCCACATTATGTGTATGTTCTCCTCGTTGTAAAACTCGTGTGGTGGTCTCATTACCAGATTGTGTGTGATGGCTGCTGCATGTAGAAATGCAGCACTCACATCTCCTGTAGAGACCGACCAGTTGTACACCAGTGCCATTGTGAGAAGCACTCTCAGAATGCAAAACAATGGTGTACTTGCGAAGAGTAGGTCGTGGTCTGCAACGGGTTCTGTGTAGCCTTTTGCTACTATGCGTGCTCGTACTTCGTTGTGTTTTGGTTTTAGAACCCATCTTGATTCAATGATGTTCCCTTGTTGTTCCTGTGTCATTGTGTTGCCATCAATCTCTGTGAAGACTCATTGTTCTTTCATTTGTTGTACTTCCTTCTTCATGCCTTGTGCTACAAGTTGTGGATCCAGGTCTTCTGTGTCATGTATGATCGGCTCTAGTAGGATCCTTTCATTTTCGATTTCTTGTGTGTCTTCATTGGAGGTTGTCTCCATCCTTCGTTGTGGACTTGATGGCATTGATTCTCATCTTGCTCTTTGGTTGTTCTGCTGTTGTAGGTCGCTCAAGGGTTTGTCTCTCTGCTGCGGTGCGTTGTTGCTTGCCGGTGCTGCCTTCTGCTATTGTGTCATCTCTTTCTCTTGTCTGTGATGTGTGCGGGGGTGCGGGCAATGATGGTCGTTTCTGATGTGCCGGTGATGTAGCCATAGGTGATGTTGGCTCTGCTGTCCTCTTCTGCTTTGGCTGTTGTTCGCTCGACTGTGCTGTGCTTTGTCTCTTGTTTTCTGCTGCTGTGCTTGTTGCTGCATCCTTCTGAGATGTAATTGTTTTGCTTGCTGATGGCATCGTTACTGGTGTTGTGAGAGTCGGTGTAGGCAGTGCTGATGCTGGTGTCTTCCATGGACCCGTGTGTGCACAGTCCAATAGTTGCTGGTCGTATTTGTGAGGCATTATTTGCCTTCTGATTGTCCTTGCTCTGACAATCTTGTTGTAGATCCCAATGAGGGATTCGCCCGTAGTTGTGTCCTTGCCAAGCCAGATCCCGTTGTAGAACCTTGGCTCTAGTTTTGGAAACTGTTTTACTGTTGGTAGCATGCATTGCACTGTCTCACCAAACTCGCACAATGGTGTATGCTGTTCTCTGTTCCATCTGTTGAAGTAGCTTGTGCATCCATTGCTGTGCAAAGCATACCTGTTCATGATGAATGCACTGTGTCGAACGATCCAAGGCATGAGTGGATGTTTCATTGGAATGTCTCTGTTGTAGTTTTGCTTGATCTGTGCCTTGAGTGTTCTGATTTGTGCAAACAATGTTCTGTGTGCTCGTTCTACTCCTCCTTGTGATTGTGAACTGTATGCTCCTGAGTTCCGGGTTGTGATGTTGCCATTCTTGCTTGCTACTGTGGTAATGAGTGCTGTCAGGAAATCTTCCTGATCTGATTGTAGTATCGTGTGTTGTTCTTCCACACTCAATGAGGAAGTGCTGTAGCTGTGTGACTGCATAGTCGAAGAGCAAGCTCTTGTCGGTCAATTGTATTGCCATGATCATCCCTGATTGGATGTCAATTGCAGTGAGGATTGGATGTACCTTGTTGTCATCGAAGCCTTTAATGTAGCCGAAGTCGAGTTGTATGATTGGAAGCTTGCTGTGCTGTTTTGGATGGTTGTTTTGTCTGCCTCTTGATTGTACGCATATCGGACACCAACTCCTGTAAGGGAGGTGTGTGACATTGTGCTCCAAAATCTCCTGTGCTGTAGGTTGCTTGGGTGCCTGTACTGCTTTTGCTCTTGTGCCTTGTTGTTGTTCTTCATCATCTGACTCGAGCTGTGTTGGGAACTCTTGATGTTCCTCAAAGTTTGTCCAGCCTGCCCAAGGCTTGTCTGATGTCTTTGCTGGCTGTGTTGTCCATTCATCTTCTATCAACCTTGTGTGTTGTCTTTCTCCTCCAACCGGTTGTACCTTGGTCTTTCTCCAAGGCAAGAGTCGTTTGATGTCTGGCCCGTCGTGTGTCTGCTCTGGTATGTAAAACGCTGTTCTGGGCTCAACATGTACTCTCTTCCAGTATGGGCCTTCCCTGTACCAGTAGTCTCCTCCAGGGTGTACCTCTGAAGGATGTGGAAGTCCTTGTCCAGCTGCGCCTTTGGTGGTGTGTGGCGCAGGTGTGTCCTGAACTGTTGGTGGTGTTGTTTTCTCTCTAAGCCGTGTGCGCGGTTTGTACTGAATCACTTGCGGTGTCACCCTCTGTGGCGCACTTTTTGGCTGTGTCTTTGTTGCAAGCTGTTGCTGTATTGCCTCTGGCAATGGCGTGCCTTTCTTGATCCTGAATGTTGTCTCTCCTTTCCACATTTGTGGTTGTGCTTTGTTTGGCGCTTCCATTGTTTGATACTTGTCTTCAAACGCGTTCGTTGTACCATCCTTGAGTCTGATGGTTGTTTTCCTGTAGTCCTCAAGTTGTTCTGCTGGGACTGGACACTGTGTTCTCGAAGGTGTGCAGAGTGTCTTTCTGTGTTGCCTGTGTACTCTTACAAGTTCACCCTGTGTATTGAATTGCCAGTAGTCTCCTGCATAACCTGTGTCTGCAGGACCTTGTGGTGTCAATGTTGTGGTCGGTGCTATCATGCCGATCTGTCCTTGGTCCGTGTTGTGTATCTGTAGCTTTGTTCCTTTTGGCAATGCTGTGATTTCTGCTTGTAGGAAGAACAGGCCGTTTCTGCTCTCCAGTGTGCTGTTGAATCCTTTGATGTGATGTAGCTTTGGATTGTCATCCAATGTAAGTTGGAAACCTTGTTCCACCAGCCTTGTAACTGAAAGAATCGGCTGTTTAACCTCACAAACGTAAAATGGTATGACAATTTGTTGTCCGCTGTGATTTGTCATGCAGACCCATCTGTACCCATAAAGCTCGATGTGCTGGTTGGTCACTGTTCTGAGTTGTGGTCCTGTTCCATGTGCAAGCTGGTGTAGTGGGAAGTGTGGTGCAAACCATGGTGGGCATACATGTGTAGCCGCACCGCTGTCAATCATAAGACTGACCCACTTGTTGTCTTCTGAGTGTTGTTGTGCTGTGCCAATCATGGCAATTGTTACTTCTTGTAATCCTGAGATGGGTACTGCTAATGGATCCGCCATTTGTGGTGGTTGTGGTAATGCTAGTTGTTGCATGTGTGTCTGATCCTGGTGGTACCAGTTGTTGTCATAGTGTGACTGACTGTACCAGTCATCTGTCTTGGTGTCGAAGTTGCCAGTATCGCAGTTGTAGATCGCCACTCTGCATTGTTTGGCCATGTGTCCTGGTTGTCCACATCTGTAGCAAACTTGTTGCTTGCTTTCCTTTTGACCCTTTTCCTCCTTGTTGGTTGTTGTAGTATCCTTTTCCTTTTCCTTTGTTGTTGTATCCTTTTCCTTTGGAGTATCCTTGTTGTCCTTTGAAAGGATTTCCTTGTCCAACCGGTTGTTGATTGTACTTACCTTTTCCTCCTTTGTAGTTGTTGTATCCGAAGTTGTTGCCGTAGCCGCCGTAGCCTTTGCCTTTGTTGTGCTTTCCTTTGCCTTTGTGCTTGCCCTTCTTTCCTTTTCCTTTGTTGTACCATGTTGCTCCTATGTCCATTGGTGCCGGTCCTTGATTGCTGTTGCTGCCTGATGTGATTGACTGTAGTCTGGTGAATGACGCTGTTGCTCTGTAGTACTCGATCACCATCGATCTGATCTGTGCGTATGTTGTGATGTTTCCTGCTTGTAGCTGCAAATGCTGCTGTAGTGGTCCTTTTGTTTCATTGAGTAGCACTGCGATTTTGATTGCATCTGGTAGTAGTGTGTTGTTGTCTTGTTCGTACCTTGAGAGTTGGAACTCCCATGTTGTAAAGCTCTCTTCGAACTTCTGTTCATCGAGTTGTGGTTTGAGCAGCTTTGTAAGGTATCCAATGCTCCTTGTACCAAGAGGTATGGAGTACCTTGCATGTATAAGCC